CATCATCATCATCATCATCATCATCATCATCATCATCATCATCATCATCATCATCATCATCATCATCATCATCATCATCATCAGCAGCATCAGCATCAACATCATCATCATCATCATCATCATCATCATCATCAGCATCAGCATCATCATCATCATCATCATCATCATCATCATCATCATCATCATCAGCATCATCATCAGCATCATCATCATAATCATCATCAGCAGCATCAGCATCATCATCATCATCATCATCGTCATGATCAGCGTCATCACCAACATCACCATCATCATCAGCATCATCAGCATCAGCATCATCATCAGCAGCATCATCATCGTCATCATCATCATCATCATCAGCATCATCATCATCATAATCAGTATCGGCATCATCATAATCCTCATCATCATCCTCATCATCATCAGCAGCAGCAGTATCATCATCAGCATCATCAGTATTAGCATCATAACCATCATCAGCTGAAGCAGCATCAGCATCAACATCATCGCCATCATCATCACCACCTTCATCATCAGCATAAGCATCAGCAACAGCAGCATCATCATCATCCTCATCATCATCAGCATCATCATTATCAGCGTCGCAGCATCATCGTCATCATCAGCATCGTCATCATCATCACAATCATCAGCATGAGCCGAATCATCAGCAGCAGCATTATCATCATCAGCATCATCAGCATCGTCATCATCATTAAAGTATCAGCATCGTCATCATCATCGTCATCAACATCGTCATCGTCATCATCAGCATCGTCATCGTCATGATCATCATCATCATCAGCATCAGCATCATCAGCACCACCAGCATCATCATCATCACCACCGTCATCATCGGCATCAGTATCATCATCATCGTCCTTACCCCTACTCCTCATCTTATTACATCTCTTTTCATTGCAGCCCTCTGGGCATGAGTGGCTTAGAGCGCTTCGTCTTGCAACCCCCCGTCGTTCCCTTCGGGGAGTGTTGTACCCCTCCCTCATAGCCCCCCCCCCCCCCCCTGGGTCTGGAGGGGAAGGGTCGCGGGCCCTTGGATCGTCCAAGAGAGTAACGTCTTGGCAAAATGTTGGGGGGGTGAACACTAATTAAGGACCCCCCCCCCCTCCTTTGATCGATCTCCTCCAAGGTGGCCCCAGAATGCCAGGGTGCTCCAAGACGGCCCAAACAAATGACCAGGAGGCCCGAAGAGGCCCCCCAGGGGGTCCAAAGATGCTCCCTAAAAGGCTCCCAGGCCCCCAAGAAGCTCCAAGAGGGCCCCCAAAGGCACCCAAGACGCCTAAAGATGACCCCTGGGACTGCGAAGCGACCCCCAAGACGCCCAAAGACAACTCCAAGAAACTCCCGACAGACATCAAAAAGAACTACGAGAGGCATGCAAGCGGCTCCTGGCCGTTCTGATCGCCCTCCTCCTCCTCCTCCTCGTCATCATCATCCTCATCATCATCATCATCATCAGCAGCAGCATCATCATCATGATCGTCACCATAATCAGCATCATCATCAGCATCAGCATCATAATCAGCATCATCCTCCTCCTCATCATCATCATCATCAGCAGCAGCATCATCAGCAGCATCATCAGCATCAGCATCATCATCATCAGCAGCATCACCATCAGCAGCAGCAGTATCATCAGCATCAGCACCATCATCAGCCGCATCAGCATCAGTATCATCATTATCATCAGAAGTAGCATCATCAGCAGCATCAGCATCATCATCAGCAGCATCATCATCAGCATCACCATCATCATCGAAAATAGCAGCAACAGAAGCAACAACATCACCATCCTCAGCATCATCGTCATCAGTATCACCATCACCATCGTCATCATCATCCTCAGCATCATCATCATCATCATCATCATCATCATCATCATCATCATCATCGTCATCATCATCATCCTCAGCATCATCATCATCATCCTCATCATCATCATCATCATCATCATCATCATCAGCATCATCATCATCATCATCATCATCATCATCATCATCATCATCATCATCATCATCATCATCATCATCATCATCATCATCATCATCATCATCATCATCATCATCATCCGCATCAGCAACATCATCATCATCATCATCAGCATCGTCGTCGTCAGCATCATCGTCCAACTCCTCCTTCTCCACGTCCTCGTCCGCCTGTTCCTCCCCCTGCCTTGTCTCTCCTCCAACTCCCCCATGTCCCTCGTCCTCCTCCTCCTCCTTCTCCTCCTCCTAAGCCCCTTCATCCTCAGCCTCTCCTCCCCATCCTCCTCCTCCTCTTCCTCCTCCGCCTCCTCCTCCACCTCAGCATGTTCTTCCTCCTCCTTCCCCTCCTCCTCCACCACCAACTCCTCCCTCCTCCCTCCACCCTCCCTCCTCCCTCCTCCCTCATCCCTCATCCCCCCTCCTCCTCTTCGTCTTCCTCCTCCTCCTCCTCCTCTTCCCTCATCCTCCTCCTCCTTTTCATCCTCCTTCTCCTC